GCGCGCGCGCTCGCGGTTGCTCGGTATCTTTCTTTCTCTTTCTCTCTACGCCCCTTCTCTGTTTCGTTTGCTCTCTTTCTACGCCTTTCTCTCTCTCTCTCTCTCCCTCTCGCTCGCGCGTTCTCTCTTTTTCTCCCTCTCTATCTCTATCACGCGTGCACCCTATCTCTCTCGCTCGTTCTCCGTCGCTCTCTTCGAGTGTCCGTCAGTAACCTAGAAAGCGGTGGCGGCGGCCATTCAGGATTACGGGACTCGGTCCGTACGTCCGCCTTGTCCGAGCGACCGAACGAGAGAACGAAAAACACCGACGTGGTACGATCTATGTCCTGTTTCGAAGCCGATACTCCGATATCCTAGTCCTTTTTCCGAAGGTTCTTTTACGAACCGACGTATCCGGGAATACTCGATGCCGCGAACGCGCATACGCACGTACTCTGCGTTATTAGACGTTCGACGACGCGTTACTTTCCACGATACGATGGAACGCGAATTCGTCCATGCGAACGAGATCGAGCCGTAAATCGTACGAAAGATTCGCGAAAACGACACTGTACTTTAAACGCACGCACTGCTCACTAGCCGCAAACTTGCTCGAGAGAGCGCACCTTCGCCACGACAGATCGGCGAGAGCACTACGAACCGATGGGTGTGCTTCGTTTACCAACGTTTTCGCGTTTCGTCCGACGCGATAAATACCGAATCGAACGGCCCTTCGATCGAGCGTTTTCAATACAACAGATATTTACCCATTTGTGACAGATTTTCTGTACGAGACGCACCACATTAACGACCGTCCCCCACCTATTACCACATACAGACATTACCACACTTCGATTTTTCAAGATGGCGACGCGCCGTCGTCGGGCCGAAACGCGTTGCGGACGAGCCGTAAAGTCGCGGCGCTACGATCGACCGAATCACAGCCACTGCGCGACCGTCGAACGCGCGATTACCCGCCAACTTTTGAACCGTCTTTATACGCGGGTACCCTTTTCCGACCACTCGATCCCCGAATACAACGTGCTGCTCTCTTTCACGATTCCCGCACGATTCGAACGAGAGGAAATGTCTCAAGAAAGATACGTCTTCTCATACTTTTCTACGAATATTATTGGGCGTATACACTCGTACAGTTTTACTTTGCTTATTATGAATTTCGTTTTAAAATAATGATACCTCTGCCGGTAGGTAATTTAATCGATAGCAAAATATTTCTGTAACAACTCCTCGTATATGTCTTTGTCGCTTTTCAGAAACAGGCAAAAGATGATTCTGTCCATCTGCAAGTTTGAAACAGGTATCGATATCGTCGCACTTTTTTTTTTTTCGACTGTTACGCGTTGTCGATATGGATTCTTACCGCGTCTCTGTTATCGAGTAGGAACTTCTTAACCGTCGACAGAGCTATGTTGGCTGCGGGTCTCTGAGGATATCCATAAATTCCTGTTGATATGCAAGGGAAAGCGATTACGCGTAACTGATTCTCTCTGCCAACGGCAAGACTGTTTTCGTAACATTCCCTCAACTTTTCTGGTTTCTCCCCTTGCGGACCAACCGTATGAATGACATCTAAAACATTACATTCGTGAAAGAACCTTGCCGCTTTTTGTTCCGTTTAATAATACTAACGCTTTGCAGGCAACATATAACCCCCTGTTATTTTAGCCTCTCCTACGTGACAGCCTCCTAGCGTAGCACATTCTTTCTTTAAATTTGGTCCAGCAGCTTTGTGAATAGCTCCGTCAACTGTAGAATATTTTGCATCCTTTAATATCGACATATCCCTGTTTTCAACATTTTCTAAGTAACGTTTGCTATGTACCTCCACCACCGCCGAGAAGACTCGAATTCGCAGCGTTAACGATCGCGTCTATTTCGAGAGACGTGATATCGCCTTGCCATATAGAAATTTTCTTCGCTATATCCTCGTCGACTTTCTCGACTTTTTCGAGATTCGTTACATCGATACTCGACTTATTTTTTTTCCAGTATTCCACCCACGTTGGGATCTCATCTAACGTGGTCACGCTTCCTTTGTAATATTTTCTTTTCTCCTCTAACGGCATCGTCAAGAATTTCTCTGTTCAACAGGAATAACGATGATCAACCAGTTTTTCCTGTTACTTTGCCCGTGACGTTCGCGAAAGCGCATAATCGTAGACAGGATTTTGGAAGGACGTTATTTGCATTACAAATTTCGATCGTCTCGAACGATCGACACGGCTAAAGTTTACGTAACTACCAAAATAAATAAAAATAAATATATTTGTAACCCTTACGTTTCTCGACTTCGAACGACATCTTCGCTTCAGGATTGACGGATGCGGCGAATCTCTTTCCACCCAAAGAATTCTCAACGGTTGACCGGACTACAGCGGTAACCGCGAAACGATTGGCGAAGCTCGCCTGGAAATCAGAAATGATTCTCCTCTCACTTTTACGCAGTTCACTCGGCCGTTGATATCCTGACGTCTCTTACTCTCAGAGCGAACATAATCTTCTCAAAAAACTCGTTTACGACCTTTGTCAATTATCGATTCGTGACTCTTCGAATGGATAAATAATCAAATCGAAACTCAGATATTCCTCCTTTCGCGTCGAGTCGAACCTTACCGAGGAAACCACGTACGATAAACAGTTGTTTTGTTTTTATTCTTCGGCTACGATCATGACCGGTGAAAACGTAGCAACGAATTTGTCACTGATGTAACGACGCGCGCGTGCAGACATCTGACGGAGAAGCGGTCGAACGATCGTCTACCGAAGTACGTCCTTATACGCCATCTACTTCGATCATTGATTACCGTATTCGAATTTCGCTAATCGCTAATTATCGTATACCGAAAACGTCGTTAATCACGAACACCTCCACGCGCAGTATTTGTGCACTTACAATTCGATCGATACGGAAACGCGTTGCATTTTTCAATGAATTATCTGTTTCATGTATTCCGATGCATACAGATATTGTTATGACTATTAATATTTTTACAGATACTTCCGGTTATTTTAATGATTTTTTGTAAATAGTCTTTTACAGAAAATAGTATAGGGTGGAAACTGCGGAGAACTTCGTTGAGCGTAGGAGGGAATAATAGTAGGCGTAATAGGGGTGCATATGACGCTGGTCAACGGTCACCGAAGGCAATGTATACTTGAACTTATGTTAAATGTCATTTAGCCCTTTCCCTACTAAGAGCGACTACAACCCTCTTACGTAAAAGCGTTTGCGTCTTGGAACGAAAGTAGTGCCAATTAAAGATCTAAAGATAATAATAAAAAAATGTTTCGTACTCGTGATATCTTGTTATCGATATAAGGGAAGAATCGTTTTATCGAATAACTTAGGGATTACTATGTGGAAATAAATTTCGAGTGACTTGAAGTACAAGGACGAGAAAGAATCAATTTCATCAGACAATTTGGTGAATGATAAATTTGTATATCAGGACTATTCGATCGGTCAAAAGGGTTGAAAATAGTTGACTCGGGCATATTCTGTTACCCGCGTCGTTGAAGTGCATCGAGCGAACGAAGGACAACGCCGACGCGAATTTCGACGCCGACGCCCGACGTCACCGACAACGCCACCACAAAGAGGAATACCGAACGAACTTTTTCCTCGTGCTTTCCACGAATACGCGTACACTCGCACGACTGTACGAGAAGGCATCGTGGCGCATGCTGAGAGCCTCCACTATCGATCCATTCGCGACCAAGCTTTCCCATTCGTCTCACAAGCTTCGCGAACGTCGTCTAGGTAAAATCACCCCGCGTACACCTGCTACGTGGAAACGTATATTTTCTTTAAATCTCTCTTTACTCGTTGGTCATCGCGAATAGCGAAATCTGCAAGATGGCACGTCGCATTGATTACACCAAGGCGATCTTCGTATTGTGTGAGTCCTTCAATTGATCCGCGGTGCGTTTGCGTGAAATTGTTCGCGACGTTATAATGATATCGTGTTTCCGATCGTTTATTGCGGAAACGAGAGTCCGTCGGCTTTACGATGACGCAGCAACGAGTTTACCGTGTTTCTTCGTAATCACCGTCGAAACTCGAAAATCTGGAAATCGATGACGGTATTACGTTATCCCGAGGCATAATATAAAGTATCCTCTATCGAGATACTCGCGAAAGTTTTATTGTTACGACGATCTATTACGATTCTATTGTTGCAATTTTAGTTTCCGTCTACTGCAAATTTGATTTTTTCGTTCGCGAAATCGTCGTGAGATTCACTACACGAACCCGATGGATAACACGTCAACACAAAAGTTTCCGTTATTTGTCCGTATTATGCGCTCGAAACAAGTTGTCGCGTTTTTATTTTTAGAAGTTGAAACAACTTACTCGTCACGAAATTCCAAACAACTTTTTACTTCGAAATTTTGTCTGGATATTTTGGTGTTCAAAATAGTCGTTTCAAGAATACGTAGCTACATTGAGAAACGATAAGCTTACAACAGTAGAAAAATTCTATCGAAAATGGAAGATTAACGTGTATTATTAAAAAATGTAAGTTCATCGTCTAACGCAAAATTTTCCTACAGGGTGTGTCCTGAGCACGGTATTCAGCGTCCCCAATTATCCGCCGGCGACCGAAAAGTTGGATAACCAGTTGTTCACTACGCGGCGGATGTCGCAAGTAGTGTTTGACATGCCCGCTGCGAAATCCAAATTACCTTTGGTAAGAACACTTTTCCGAAACGCATATACGTTTAATAACGACGTTTCCAATTTGTTGCGTGTTTTCGACGCGCTTCCCTTAAACGGTGGGTGCGCTATAACGTATACGATTAATTATTTAACAAGGAAAGCCGTGGAAGTGACCTCTTACCCATCCTCTTCAAACTTCGCATTTTGAACTCTGTTCTTCAGCAAGCAAATATAAGAGACACGTATTTTTTTAATCGACTGAGGCGCGCCTTTAAGGGGTGAAAACTTTCATAATTCCGACCCATAAGTACTGTCTCGAAAATCAACGACGATATCCTTTAGTGGGTTCTTTATGCACAGTAACAAGATGTAAACAAATTGAGCAAGTTTCATGAAAATCGGAGGGCGATACTTCCGTGCCTTTCTTTGCTAGTGGATTCGTGATACGTGGTCATTAATCGGACGACGAGCTAAACAGCGAACGTCTGGCTCGTCAACGAAAAGTTCAATCGTATAAAGATCGAGATAATTTATTCGATGCAAGCGGCGATAAGGCGACTCGAGTTTCTAGACGAGATCGTGGTTTAAAATAAGCGATAATTTTTTTCCAAAGTAACCTATTAGCCACAGCCTGTTGCTTCTCGCGTTTTGCCGCGTGTTGCTTTCGTAATAATGCAATCCACGTTGTTTTCCTAAAATGTAACGATCGACCGATAAGACTTTTAGGAGACTGTATTTAAATCTTCGTAGATCATTTTCTCTCCGCGAAATCGTTTTAATTAATAATATTTTTAAGCCGGTAGATAATTTCGAAGTGAAAAGCACTACGACGATGACGACGGAATCAACGACAACCCACAGATCGTTTTCCACGGAACAGCCTCTGTACCGCCTGGACGGAAGCAACGGACAAGCTTGTATTCTTCTGCAGGTGGATGCCCTGATCACGGTGAAGTACAGAACGAAATTTGGAGAGGATCAAGTAAGACTCGTTATCGCGTGGGATGGCAGAATTTGCGAGATGTTTAAACAACGCGTTTTCTTCAGGAAGCGAGCATTTATGTTCCCAACGATGCCACGGTAACCGGCAATTGCAACAACGAGAACACCGTGACAATGTCCCTGAAGTGGAAGGCGTTCGTACTGCTATGGCGTTTCGCTAAGGTAACGATTCGATGCGACGTGTCGTCTGGACACGCGACGTCATTTTTCTTCCCTTAACCGAGCAAGTATCCAATGACACGACGTTAGGTCACGAAACTACCGCACCTAATCTGCACACGAAAAGGCCGTTTCCAGCAGAAATCGATATTTAGCCCTTTGCCTCCGATTACTTAATTACTGTACGTTCGTTCGACGGTTATATTAAAATTCATAACGAATTAATATTCCAGACACCCGGGGGCGAACGATGGTACGTCGAGAAAATTCAGTTGACCTACAACTCCAGTGATCGACACTTTGAGCATATCGAGCAACCAAGTAAGTTCGTTTAAGCGGTAAGAGTCTGTTATTCGTACAAAGACTTTGCGGTAAATCCGATGTCTTTCCGTTCAAGACAAGACGATCAAAGTCAGTACCGACCAGAAACACAGCTACATGCTGTTTCCGACACCGGTTGGAAAGTCGTACGCCTGCGACGACGAGACGGAGATTCCGTTGACCGATGGAAAGAATCATGCCAGCGTGCTTCTCAGGTACGTCGATACGTTACGAATTAATCGGAAAGTCTCGTAAGAAATTTCCTCCGAAACTGTAGAAACATGAAGCTGCAGCCGTTCAAGTTCAAGAACAACGAATTCGCGGCGGAATTCTCGTGTACGTCTTTGAGCGCGCGCGGTGTTCGAGACGAGACGGCACCCGTCGCGGTCGGCTCGACTCTGGCCGCTGCTGTTCTGCTCACCATCACCGGTTACGCAGGCTATCGTTACTTCAAAGTGAAGAAGGTCAAATACGACACCATGGAATAAAAACTAGGAGAAACGCTGCCCAAGACGATGCCAAAACCGCGCGACAACGCCGACGATTCTCGCTGAAATCGGGGAGTAACTGATCGTCGTCGTCGTCGTCGTTACGACATATCTATCTCGATCGTTGGAACACAACCGGTACAAACGTTTATCCGGAAGCACGCGTATCTATCGAAATCACGAAGAATTCGTGAGCGTTCGTAACGGCACTGATGCGAGTACGCGTTTCGAATTTATCGAATAAAAACGACGCGATTTTCCTCCATTAAATTTATATCGATCTCGTACGCGATACCTAGACGCGAAGCGCGAAGCCAAATTTCGTGGATCGGTACGCGTTCGATTCTCTCGGGTGTAAAAAATGTCGATTAGAGAAAATAAGTAACTCGTGTATATTAAACGGTATACGAAATATTCGGCAGCACACTCGTTACCGCTCGTTGTCGCAAGCTCTGATGGTTGTATCGATAGATTTTTATCCGAAGACGTCGACTCGTTTTTCCCCGCCGGGAAGAATGCTCGAACGTTGTTTAGAAGAATAAATTTCTCGGGAAAAGTATCATTTTATTCTTCGCGTTTATTCACGTAAAAATAGTTGTAACGTAAACGAGAGATCGGGACGCGTTCATTTCTGTGCACGAAATTTCTCGTTTCTTAAATTAATACTGTTCTTTCGCGTGGTCGATCCTAACTTTTCGCGCAATATTATCGTATCGCTCGAAACATTAAGAATCTCATCGATAACATCGTTGTCCTCGAATTCGAGGGACAAGAAAGCCCTGTCAGGCAGCTAAAGATTTACGGAAACGAATAGTATAGTCAATTTCGAATTAAACGTATCGCGATGGCGCACCTATGTAATTTGACGTTGATCACGGTCCTATTTTAAGCTCCCATAATTACTTTCTCCTTTCAACGTGTAAATAGTATTCGGCAACGCTGTCGTGTGATTCTGACCTTGCATCGTGAAAAATCTTTTCTTTCTACGTACGCGTCGGACATATCTACCTATCTACCGGACATATCTATTTTAAATATCGCGATCCTATTCATTCTACCTACTTTTCGTATAGAATATAACACTTAACATACAGTGATTAATTTTTATCTTTCGATTCTCGATGTAACATATCATGTAAATACGTTATGTACCATTGTAAACGATCGACGAAGCTCGCGACGCAATGACCTTTCTACTTTTCGCAACGAGCAAATCTCTTGCCGGAGAAGAATGTCAGTTTCTACGCGTTACTTTGACAGCGTCGATTGTTCCCGTCGTTGTATCGGTCCATTTTCGTGCCAGCAAACCGGATGCTGTTCACGAGCTTCGTCGATCGAGCATAATTTTCGAAGATCCTTCAACGCGCGACCAGCGTGTATTCGTTATTAGTCGATGGATAGTTCACTTCTACGAGATATATTAGCGTATAAATTCGTCTTTAGAACGGTCGAACGAAATCGAAAGACACCATCTCCCTAAGGTGGAACGGTTCAAGCTGAAGCGAGGCGAGGTGCAAAAGCGAAGGAACGTTGTGCAGACGGAAAGAACATATCGAATCGAACGATGCGCCTATCAGGCCGGTATACGGTTACAGCTAACGAGCAATGGAGTACCTAATTGTAGCGTAACCAGCACGTACACGTCTATGGCGAGAATAAATTTATAATTAGCGATATTGCGCATAACGTGAACCTCTGTCTTCCAAATGCATAATAAAGTTGAAGTTTTGTGTGTAAATATATATTTCGCATGTGTGCGCGCATATGTACGTGCGCAAACGCGTACGCACAGTTTGCTCGTGTGCACGTACGTATCCGTGTTATACATATTATAAATACACGTATACATAAATAAATATAAATATATATATATAAAATATGCATATGAACGTACCTAGGGATAAGGAAAGAAAGAGCGAGAGAGAAAGAGAGAGAGTGAGAAATGTTAGGAATATCGTATTTCCGTAAGGAAGTCGAAGCGGTGGTCGATTCTCGAGTTCGCGTTGGCAGAATAGAAGATTGTGTTTCTTTTTTGGCGCGATTCGAAGAATTCGGGAGACACACACCGTTGATCGAGGGTTTCTTTATGTAGGCCACGAGGTGTCTCGTCGTTTACAGACGCGGGTACGATCTAGACGTAATCGCGAAGATGTATTTTTGTGCTAAAATCAATTTTATCATAGATATCGTTATCGTCTGGGAAGGTTTATCGAAAGGAAGACCCTGTCTAAGGTCAAGAAGTTGAGCGAAGAAACGAGAGAACGGGGCTGACAGGAGGGTCGAGTGGAAGCGCGAGGTCAGTTTCGAGGGAACGAAGAATTCCGAATCATATCGCTTGATCTATTTCCGCAACGTAAAGTCTCGTAATACGTAACCGTAACTCGTACGGATGGATGCGTAACGCGACGCGGTGCGTAACGCGTGCTCGCTACTATTATATTATATCGATAAAATAAAGGCTGTTATACAAGCTCGTTCGTTGACGATTCATTTGTCCCGGTTTCCGCAAACGGCAAACAAGCGTAAGTGGCGTACTGGAGAATCGCGTGAAATTTGTATACGTAAACGGGACGGGTGTTTGCGTACGACGAGAAGGGTCGACGAAATAATAATTTGCCGAAGGGCTCTGGAAAAGGGCGTGAAAAGTACAGTCAAGCAGGCTTATGCTCGTCGACGAGAATCCCTCGCCCTTTACGTAACGCGCGGCACGGTCGTCGATAGTTCATTGTCGCGATGTCCATTGAAATCTCCGCGACAATGGTCGGGCCAGGCGGATCGCATTGTCGTTGGCGTGCATCTCGACCCTCTGGCTACGGGTAGTCCGAGCAGAGCTCTCGAAAAGATCACCGGTAACCGAGGATTACGTCTCTTAATCTAGAACCTGAGGCTGTTCGACCGCTGATCTGTCGCGGAGTCGCTGATATTCGGCAAATTGCAAAGGGTATACGAGCAAAGCGGTGTCGAAAATAATAATTCGGGCGGAGAGAAAGCGCGCATTCCCCGGATGATGGCGCAACGACTCGTAACGAGGAAATTGCGAGATACGGGTGATCAGGATGTAAAAGGGGTGGTTGCTACGATAATTGAACGTAATTGGGTACGTTTGATGACAGATGTAATCCTGGCGGGGTTCGGAGGTAAAAGGCAGGGACGGATGAACGTAGATAGGTGGAAGGGTGTAAGGGGGTGAGGATAGGAATGGTCTATAATTTATAAACTAGGGGCTGTTTTGGGGTAATTGCAGATAACGATGGGGCGGTCCGGATAACAAGCCGACATGGGAGTCACTGGACACCGTGCCACTCCACCGGTAACACCATAACCTTCGTTATATACGGCTATTCTCTGTATCGCTTGCATCGCTGTCTAACCATAAGTTACGTCACGCGTGACATCGCCGCGAGGGTCTCGCCTTAATAAATCCTGGATTCTCGTCGTTCGTTTTGCGCGATCGATTCGTTCGTTTTTTAGTCGCGTACGCGATCCACGAAAAATTGTGCATTACGTCGCGTTCGGCGCCCTCCATTTTCCTATTTAAAAGCGCGTTTCACGCCTCGTTGTGCGAAAAGGCGACGACTATCGGTAACCGGGAATCCATTTAGGTCGTTCAAAAGCTGCTCGGACTACCTGGGCTTCTCTTTTCACGCGCTTCCTGGCTAACCGATTGTAACCGCGTTTTGACGAGTTTGCGGCTTTCGCGTGTTCACGGCTCGACTATTCGCGTTTACCGTAAACACGTACTCGAAAACGGGCAGCGCAATCGAGCGATAAAGCGGACAGCTTCTCGAAGCACGACTGGCTGCTTCTAATCGCTGATACACGTGGATAGACCGGGGAGACGCTTCCTGGAGGCGCTATAAATACAACTCCGAGAGGTATGACGCGATAATTACTCGATTCCCACAGCGTAGCGGGTAGTCTGGTCAACTCGATCGCGATAAGCCGATAAAGGAACGGCACGGCCTTGATGCACTTGCACGATCAGCGCTAAGAATCGTCGCGACAGCGTTTCGTTTTCGTCTCCGGCACGTCATCTTTCCACTCGAAGCAAACTTATCGAACGTGTCGAGTATCGTTGAACGAAAAAAAGTCGCGTGAGCTTCTGTTGCGTTTCAGACGTTTCGAACACTTTCGTACAAACAGATCGAATTTATTCTCCTATTACAAACACGCCGGGAAAATACGCTCGATAGACACGCGACAGACTTGTTCTTGCAACTATCGGTTCTGGCTTCGTCGAACGATCGGGCTGGAAGAGAGACAACGCTCAAGACTTTTCGCAACGGATGAACCATGAACGCGAAGCGGAGGGCGCAACCTCTAATTAAATAAATCCTGGTTGCGGTATGGACAATTTCATCGTTTGAAAGCTATCCCCTTGACGAAAAAGGGGACGATGATACGCGCGTATATACCAGGATAGAAAATGTTCGTGGGTCGTCGACGAACCAGTCCATTGCCTATGTACTCGCCTACCCTTATTATTGGGGTATCGCGATGTAACGCGAAGCTTACGAAATTTCCCCTTCGTTTCGCATATTTTACTTTGTCACCGTGCTACTTTCAAAGCATCGAGTAAAAATCGTCACCGAATAGCGAAAAACGATCCGATGCTCGAACGCGAGGATCTCTAAGAGTGACTCCAAAATTTTGGCTCGTTACAGGTCAGCCAGTTCGTACGTATAGGAGCTGTGGTGAGGTTGCGACGGGAAAAGATAGAAAGTTTATAGGGTCGAGGAAAGGACGAAGGAAAAGGAATAGCGCGCGCGCATGCTTGTGCGTGTGTACGCGTGCGGGAAAGAGAAGGAACCGAAGTACGGGAGAAAAAGAGAGGAAAGGGGGAGGGGAATACAGGGAAAGACAGGAACGTGGCGTGAATGGGAGGGAGTTCATAATAACATCGAGGGGCAACAGGGTTCTCTGTGTTCAGATGCTCTTTTCAAGAGTGAGAACCCTCTTCGACGCGCATTCAAGTGTCGCCGCTTTGTAATACCTCTTAATACCGTTCGCTGTCGACGTTATTAAGGATCCGGAACATATTGTCGGTACAACAGTGGCAATACCTCTATGGCGTCAAGCCTTTATTGTTGCTTCTCGCGCGAATTCGCTTTCCGTGGCAGGAAATAAAATGGGACGAACACTTTTTTCATTAGATTTTTTTTTCTGATTTTGCGGATGTTTTCTGGTCCGGGAACGAACTGGAAAACGACTACTAACTCGCGTCTGATTTGCTTCTTAGTCGGTCGGTAAAAATATTTGCGGTTCGGAACGCGAAAACCGAGTTTATAGAGCTTGGCACATTTATGCGACGACACCGACGCAAGAGTCGTACTTTACTCGCAGATAAATCGTTCGAGTCAGCGTAAGACGATTCTAGACGGAGACCTGCGTCCACCGTTTTTCCCACAAAACTCACCTGACATAGGACTTCGTAGATAAGAAGACGTTAAATGTGCCAGGTGGCACATATTATAACTGGTCGTAAAAAGCAAGCGGCACGTGTTGCCGTCGTATCAAAATATTATTCGAACGTAAAATTTGCAAGAAAACGGAACATCTATCGCGACTTGTCTTCCCGAGGAACATCGACTCGTCGTAGTTTATCGACGAAGGATGAACTATCATACGGAACATACGGTCATGAGTTAGTCTCGTCTGGTGACGAGGGATCGCGAGTCCCTTGCCTGCCGATTCTCCTTTCGTATCTCTACAAATCGACGTAATTGGCGACGCCGCAATCTCCTCTTCCCTTTTAGAAATCCGCCTCGACCCGAGAATAATTAGTAGTCGTTATAAATGTTGGCAGCGTCGCGTAACCAACCGATTAGAGCATGGGGCAGTTGCTCCTCCTGCGAAGATAAAAAGTGGCGCAATTCGTCATCTAGCGGGCGTACAAATTCTGCTCGTGCTTTCGTCGCTAAAGCGAAAAAAGGAACGTGTCGGAAGGATAGCAGCGAAACCCGTTGTTTCGGCGTTACGAGGAGGCGTCTTCGAACCCCGCTTTAATTCGGTTGATACTTACCGGTGGACGCGAATAGTCGACGCAGGTCGGAATGGAGATGATGACAGTCCACCGTTTCAACTACCCTCAAATCACCGAGCGCGCCTAACTAACCGTATAATCGACGATTCCAACCTATTACGACATCCTATGCGCCACGCTTTTCGCCCGGTATAAAGTACAACTGGGGAGTGTCTACTTTGCGAAACGACGATGATAATTAAGGAATCTTGTCGTATTCGCGCTCCGTGCACTGACCCGAATTCGAAACTTTTATCGAGCAAATTCGAATGCGTCGAATTTCAAAATAATCGACGCAAAAGCGCCGGGAAGAGTAGCTGCACGATGCGGAACGGCAGCGTGGTTCGAGATTTAGACGCGAACGCGATGACAGGAAAGCACGGCATAAAGTAGCCAGTGACACATAAAGAGCATATTTTCGGGTATTAGGAAGGGATCTGGCCCGGCTCCGGCCAACTACCTGTGTGCGGTTCACGCCTGTTCGCGTTTGCCAGTACCAGAATCTCCCGCACCGATCTTTCCAGTGGCCCCGTTAATGGGAAAATAACCGACGGATTACGTCGCCTAATCCTCCTGCTAACGCGATCTCATTGTCGCGAGGGAATCGAGCGAATCTCGCGCCTTCTATCTGGTAGCCTTCAAGATCTTAGGTCCGGCAGTCTCGTCCCGTTGGATCGAAAAATCTCCCCGGCTTGATAACGATCGACCAAAATCAGTTAGATCTTCAGGAATTTCTTATTATTCCTAATCGCGGGAACGATTGCGTCGCGAACGGCGGGGACGAATTTTTCCGTTGTTTTCGGTACAACCTCTCTTTCACGAAGCGATCGGAAAGAGACGAATTCAGAAAAAGTTCGACGAAAGTGGTCGGACAATAAGGAACGCTGGTCGAGCTCGTTCACCTGCGCGTAACAAGAATGTCAGCTTCTAAAAATAAATTGCCTGTACGATCGTCGACGACTCTAACAGCGCGATTGCGAGCGCATACGTAACGCGCGGCGAAGATAGCCGCTATCTCGTCGAGGCGGTGTCCAATGTCGGCCACCAACGCGACCGCCAGCACTTTCGATCCCCGCGAGTCAAACAACGCGCTTTATTGTTCCCCGCGTATTAATTTTATAGATATAAACGCGTACCTACGCCCGAGCATACCGACGTTGTCTACGCGGAAATACGACACGCGCTCCCGACGGTGCTTTCGCCGCCTCGTTCGATCGCCGGGACCGAAACGGTTATTCATCGACGGACCTCGACTTCCTCCCTCGCTAATCGTAATCCATTATAATCTGCATATTATTCGTTTGGTTCGGAAAGAATTCGCGTCGCGACTGCCCTTTGAAAGTAATCTGCTCGAAACGGAGGCCGTATTCGAATTCGGAGCGAGTACTCGAGGACGCGGACGGTGTCGCGAGAACGCGACACAGACGGTCCGTTTAATTTATTCGGATTTACGTCGGCGAAGATGCCTACCCGTTTGTCGACGAGTTTCAAGGGGATGAACGAGCGTACGAGAGGATCGTCGGGTCGATTTTGCACAGAGCCATTTTGGAATGCAATTAAACGCGGTACAACGAAATACGACGCTGTCGCTGCTACCGGTGCCGCTGCTTCGCTTCGCTCTGTTCTCTTCCGCTTTACTCCGCATCGTTGCTTTCCACCTCCTCCGACCACCCTCTCCCGGACCCCCTCTTAGCCTGTCTTCGTACCCCTGTACCTACCACTCGTCGCGCTACGAATACCTCCGTTTATCCACCTACGAATAATCGATTTTTCATCGACGGTCGAATCTTTCGCCGTTTTCGAGTTATCTCGTTCTTTATCGCAAAATACTCGTTGCAAATTTCATTGGACGCGCAAGGACGTTTCTTATTCTTGTCAAGAAATTTCTCGGTAATCCTCGAGAAGCGAACGTAAAGAACAGGGCGCGGATAGCAACGAGGGAAAAAAAGAAAAAGAGTCGACGATCTCGGGATCGTTTCGATAAGGCAACGAGGGTAACGCGCGAGAGAACGAAAAGGGGTGCCGGTAGGGATAGATTGGCGGAGGTCGGTGCAGGTAGGGTGAGAAGAGGTATGACAAGGGGGTGGTGTAGGAGGCAGAGGAAGAGGAAGAGAAAAAGGGAGAGAGACAGAGAGGGAGCGGGAAAATGGCGGCTCGCAGGACATCCGACACCAAATCGAAGGAGACGCCTCAAACAACGCGCTTTATTGTTCCCCGCGTATTAATTTTATAGATATAAACGCGTACCTACGCCCGAGCATACCGACGTTGTCTACGCGGAAATACGACACGCGCTCCCGACGGTGCTTTCGCCGCCTCGTTCGATCGCCGGGACCGAAACGGTTATTCATCGACGGACCTCGACTTCCTCCCTCGCTAATCGTAATCCATTATAATCTGCATATTATTCGTTTGGTTCGGAAAGAATTCGCGTCGCGACTGCCCTTTGAAAGTAATCTGCTCGAAACGGAGGCCGTATTCGAATTCGGAGCGAGTACTCGAGGACGCGGACGGTGTCGCGAGAACGCGACACAGACGGTCCGTTTAATTTATTCGGATTTACGTCGGCGAAGATGCCTACCCGTTTGTCGACGAGTTTCAAGGGGATGAACGAGCGTACGAGAGGATCGTCGGGTCGATTTTGCACAGAGCCATTTTGGAATGCAATTAAACGCGGTACAACGAAATACGACGCTGTCGCTGCTACCGGTGCCGCTGCTTCGCTTCGCTCTGTTCTCTTCCGCTTTACTCCGCATCGTTGCTTTCCACCTCCTCCGACCACCCTCTCCCGGACCCCCTCTTAGCCTGTCTTCGTACCCCTGTACCTACCACTCGTCGCGCTACGAATACCTCCGTTTATCCACCTACGAATAATCGATTTTTCATCGACGGTCGAATCTTTCGCCGTTTTCGAGTTATCTCGTTCTTTATCGCAAAATACTCGTTGCAAATTTCATTGGACGCGCAAGGACGTTTCTTATTCTTGTCAAGAAATTTCTCGGTAATCCTCGAGAAGCGAACGTAAAGAACAGGGCGCGGATAGCAACGAGGGAAAAAAAGAAAAAGAGTCGACGATCTCGGGATCGTTTCGATAAGGCAACGAGGGTAACGCGCGAGAGAACGAAAAGGGGTGCCGGTAGGGATAGATTGGCGGAGGTCGGTGCAGGTAGGGTGAGAAGAGGTATGACAAGGGGGTGGTGTAGGAGGCAGAGGAAGAGGAAGAGAAAAAGGGAGAGAGACAGAGAGGGAGCGGGAAAATGGCGGCTCGCAGGACATCCGACACCAAATCGAAGGAGACGCCATCGCAGAGCGCGGCACCGCCCCTCTATCACCGGGTCTTGCTCCGCCGGTGTCGTCGTTCTACCTAGGGCGCGCTCTCTAAATTAAAACGATTTTTCCTCGATTACGGAAAACGTACCTGGAACACTTTGTCAGGAATTTTGTCCGATATCGGTGGATGTTTTCCCGACTCGACGAAAACTGACGAACAAGAAGAGAAGGCTCAGCGACATTAATCGGCGACGCGTTTCTACGTTTTTCGCGGAACACGAAGGAAAAATCGAAGAAAGCAGCCTCGAGTAATGACGTAACACGAACTAGGAGCATCGATCCAATCTGGTTTACCGGTACTAGCGAGAACGTTCGACTCGCCTTGTTTCGAACTATGCGACGATTCAACAAATAAACGCGTTTCTACGCAAAGATCTTGTTGTTGCATTCGCTTCCGTCTACCAGTAAAGGAAAAAAGAGAGACAGAGGAAGAGAGAGAGCGGAGCGGTAAGTCGTTCCGTCGCGCGTCGATCGTCGTTCGCGCGAACTCTCCTTTCCCTCGAACGAATTTGTCAAAGTCTCGTGGCCACGACGCTTCCCGTCACGGTGAAACGACGAGCAACGTCCGACCAGTGGCAATTAGACGGAAAAGGCGGAGCGGATTGAAAGGATTGGCCAGGCGTGGCAAACGGAGAGATTTCGGTGATCGCTGAAAGACGTCTTCGCTCGTCTACCGGAATACCGGCTCTCATTGATCTACTTAACGCCACACCGGTGGTCCGACAGTTCCGACGCTATTTTCATCGACTTCCCTCGGTCGAGCCACGTTACTCTCTCATCCTGTCACCCTTTACGTTTCACGCGACGCTTTCCTTCGTTCTCGATCGTCTTTCCCTTTCTGCAAATTTTCTTTCGCCGCCTTTCGCCCGTAATTATTTGTCCGAGGAAACGTGGGATCGTTGCCCGTCTATCACCTGAAAGGTATCCAGTCGACATCGACGTAGGTTAATATCGCTATTTGTAAAATACGTATGACCGACGAGTCGATATCGTTCGTGCAACGTCCTAATGCGATACGCGGAACGAACGATGACATGGACGGTTCACGAATCTGGCAATTTCGTCGCTTCGTCCTTCTCTTTCGGTAGGAAAAAAAGCGGGCTCGCAACGTCGGTGACCGACGGGAAAGACCAGGGGAATCATTGCCGGTTGTTTGAAATTAATCGAACGCGAGACGCGATAGCACCGTTTAGAATCACAACACGGTGTACGGTAACGTTGTCGCGTTCCGTTTCCGGTGTTTGTTGGTTACCTCCTATGTTCTTCGCGCTTTACCCGCGGACACGTCCGCGTATTCGACCACACGCGTGCGCTCGTTGCGTTTATCGCGATCAGGATCCGAGAAAAAAATAATTATACGGACAAACTCTCTCCGACGTTCGCGTCTACGACTTACGAGGATTATGCCGAATTTTCGTTCTCGTAATAAAGTCGCGTAGCGGCAACGATTAACGACTCGATTGAAAGGCAAAAAAAGAGGAGGATGGACGAGTACGAAGATAGAGACAGATAGAGCAATCGTCCGTGAACGCGGCGAAGAGGTTGCTCGCAGGTGAGGATCCAGCAACGAGCCGAAGCCGGTATCCGTGGTCACGAAACGGGGTGGCTTTCGCCGGGGGTAGAAATATGCGCCGCCCCCGTGTTCGTCCAATCGAACGAACGCGCGCGCTCCTCGTCGACCAATAGGAACGCGTTCGCACGCGTCCCCCGTTCGAACGCGCCGCGCTCCACTCCTCTCCGCGCCGCTGCGCCTTCAAAAACAAAAAAGACACCGAACAACGGAGCAAGAGAGAGCACCACCGCCGACGTCCTCTGGTTGTGGCCGCGACAACGTCAACGGGAACGGTATCGGCGCGGAATAATCGGCAGTGGCAGTGGTCCTCGTAGCGGTAGCGGTGGAATCGCTTTTCATCGCCGACATCGTTGCGATACCTATTATCGCTACACAGTGAAAATCGTGATTTTAAAGAGTTTTCTGTTCGCGAACATCGTTCGTTCCCGGTGTCTTCGTCCACGAAGCGTCGCGGCGTCGAACGGGCACGGAAGAAAGGATCGTCGAGTGTTTTCGGGCAGTGCAGTTTTCTTCGAGAGTGAAGTTAACGAACGTTACGCGCGCACAGCGCGATCGGAGATAAAACGCGTTCCGTAAATAACGACGCGTTCATGAATGGAAACTCGGTTGGCGAAAGACGCGATCGAACGATCGTCTGGCGGCGTCGATCGTCCGAGCGACGGACGCTCGCTTTCGTCGTCAACAGTTCGTTCGTAAATGATCGATAACGCGAGATCGTTCGCGACCAAGCACCCGAACGAGCAGCTACGGGAAACGAAGCGACCGGAGGAAGACTCGTTCGCGAGGTCAACGTAGATTCCGCGAAGAAATGATCGCCGGTTGAGCGAGAAGAGGAACGAGCAAGAATGCCCGACAGTTCCGATCATTTGTCGTCGCCGAACAGCGACTGCAACAGCCAAATCGGCGGTATGCACCAAAACGCGACGTCGGGCCAGTACGACTCTTCGATGCCCGGTCTGCCCCTGAGCCATCATTCTCATTCGCAAAATCTAACGCCCGCGTCGAACGAGAGTCCTCGGTACCCTCAAGAGTTGACCTGCGGTTCGACTAACTCGTCCACGAATATAGGAAATATCGCCGGACTTTCACTGGGAACAACGAGCAGTAATTTTACGCCGGAACAGATATCTTGTATGTGCGAGGCGTTATCGCAGAGTCAGGATATCGAGAAGCTCACGAGGTAAGTCTCCTCTTTGTTCGTTACGTTTCGAATCGAGCGATCGCGAGTAATCTACCTTCCGACTTCGACGGCCCATCTCGCGAGCAAACTAAATATCTGAATCTAAAACGGCGAACGTTTCGATGTTAGGTTTCTATGGTCCTTACCACCCGGCGAACTGCTTCGCGGCGGCGAAAGCGTTCTGATGGCAAGAGCCACGGTGGCCTTTCATCGGGGCGCTTATCACGAGCTTTACTCGATACTGGAGAGTCACCCGTTCTCGCCGCGCCGTCACCAGGATCTTCAAGACATGTGGTTCAAATCGCACTATCGCGAGGCGGAAAAGATCCGCGGCCGTCCATTGGGAGCCGTGGACAAGTACCGATTGCGGAAAAAGTACCCTTTACCGAAGACGATCTGGGACGGCGAGGAAGTAGTGTACTGCTTCAAGGAGCGATCGAGGAACGCGTTGAAAGAGTGCTACATGAGAAACAAGTACCCGGCTTCCGACGAGAAGAAGAACTTGGCGAAGAAGACCGGGCTGACTCTGACCCAGGTGTCGAATTGGTTCAAAAATCGACGGCAAAGGGATCGAACACCGCAAACGAGGACGTAAGTTTCTCTTTCGTTTTTCCGCGTTGGAAATTTTCCGAGGATATACGACGTGGCTCGACCTCGAGCGGGGCACCAAAGCGTCCCGCTGCGGCGATTCGGTGCATGGAGGGCACGTGTGTCAACGGGGGGTCTCGACTTTTCCACCGAGCAACAAGTGTCTCGACATGTGTACACCACTGTACGGGGTCGCGCGTCCTTCCTCCGGGGGCACACCGACCGTTTCGAAGACGGTAAATCATCCTTCGTACGAGCCGAATCCGAGTACACCGAGAGATCGCCTTTGCCACGATGCCCGACCGCCCCCGTTTTCGCTCGAATCGAATTTCTACAGAGTAAACGATCCCTCGACTTTCGATCGCGCATTCCAACCAATTCTTCTCCGTTTCTCGCGCTACCGTTCCTACGAACGATCAGTGTGGCGGTGACGCGACCTCTTCCGCGATAATCGGCCTTCGTAAACGTTCGCGAGCTTTATTTGTAAACGCTTTGATACGCTCCGACGAAAGGGGGTTGAAAGGAGACGGAGGAAGACGGGACAGCGGCAAACGAACGAAACGTGGACCGTCTCGAGCTCGGATAACGCTTGTTCGTTCGTGTATCGATACAACGAGACGCGCGAATCGCGATAAGATTAGAATATTTTTTTTCGACCGACCTTTCGCGCATCGGCGGGCGACGTTCGCGGAACAGCCGGGTTAAATTCATCGACGTTCTCGTCGATGCCGTCTTAAACGCGGTCTCGATCGCGAGAATTTTCGCGGCGAAAGAGGTATGCGCTGTGCGAGAGAGTGCACGGAAAGAAAAGGAGCAAAAGATAGAGAGCAAAGGCAGCAACGACGTTGTTATGGCTACGACGCGGCTCGGTCACGGTCCGCTTTGGACCTCGTGTCGACTCGCCGTCGCTAACGTTCGAAAGCGCGCAATTTTTCTCGACCGTGAGTTCGCTTCGATCCAGACAAATGATCGCGCGTAGTCTTCCGAAAAGCATCAACGAGCGATCGGGAACGCCGTGCGTGTCGAGCGAAAAATTCTTTTTCGGTGGCGAATAAGCTTTGCCCGAGCTCCCCCTCGTTCCGCCCTTAACGTCCTCCCCCGGCAAAGACCGTACGAAAAGGAAACGCGACGCCCCATTACCGCTTTATGACGCAGCTTCGGTTACGTCTCTCGTTTCACCATTGAGCTGTTCGCGCTACCAATAGTTTACTACGTAATGCCCACGACCGGCCCTCCGACGCTGCCACGATTTATCAAAACTACCGCCGTACCGCTACGTTCTTCCTTTCCAACTTTTTCGCGCGTTTCGTTCGCGGATCCGTCCAGCTTCCGACGACGATCCGTTCTAGGAGCGTTTTCGCGACCGTTTCCGAGAAACGAAAGCGCGTCTCCGAATCGTAGACCTTGAAAAGCGGGCGTAAAAACGCGGGGTCCGTGTTCGCGAGAATGGAAGGTCGGCAACGAGGCTCGAAATCGTGCTCAGGGGCGGAGTTGGCTTCGCATGGACCACCGTGCGTGCACGTGCGTGTCGCGAACACCGTACCCGCGCGTTCTCCTTCTTACCCGTGACAACGTCCAGGGAACGGACGGAGAAAGAACGAGAACGAAAGAAAGAAAGAAAGAAAACGCGCGCGTTTCTCTCGAACGGGCAACGAACAATGCCGGCGCGAACGAGCTCGTTTCGTCGAGTCGCCTTCGTTCGGAGAGGCTAGTGGCGAGAAACTTCTTGGAACGAATGCGCGCGTATGCGTGTGACCCTTTAATCGTCCGGTCGGTCCTGCCTGGACCAAGGGTCCAAGTTTTTTCGGATCCGTAAGACAATGAGGAACCTCGCATATGCTTCACGTCCTGGACCTTTCCGTCGACTTTTCCTTCTTTGCCTCCCGTCGGAGCGGCCCAAGATTTATGGCGGGTCCCTGGCAATTTTTCTTAACGACAACGATTTTCGACCACGCACGTGCGTTATCTGTACCGACCGTCACGGTACGATCTGCCGCTTCAACCTCTCGATCGACCACGTTTTGCAAATACAGATCATAATTGCCGTAATCTTGCGTCGAAACGACTTGGATCGGTTACCGTGACGATCGCGATTATTTTGTTTACAGGGACATGATGCCGTTGACTTGTCAAAACGGTAGCAACGTGATCAGCGGGCCCGTGAGCAACGGAGGAAGCATTCAATCGTTGCAGAGCATCGATTCGGACAATTCGAATCTCGCCATGTCGCCGCTGTCGACGATGGGTATGTCGCCGGTCGGCGTGAACCCCTGTAGCCCGATGGGTATGAGCCCCATGGCCCCGCGGCATCCAGGCTACGCGCCACCCGTTACTCCCTCGTCCGTGCACACCTCTCACCCCCACAACGGAGCTCTCAGCCCCATGAACGACGTGAAAGCGCTCTGCTACGGCCGGGGAGTTTACGACACCGGTAAGTTTCGTCGTGAATCGAAAGAGTGATGATCGAGAGAACGCGTTCGACGAGATTTCGGAAACCGCTGTTTCAGGTAAGGACGTGGACCAGAGCTCGGTGTACTACTCGAGCCACTCGGGTATGCACCATCAATATTACCAGCAGACGCATCATCAAATGATGTCAGGCGCGCATCATTACCAGCACCACCAGCAGGGCATGCCGACAGGCTACGAAATCGCGTTGCCGCCTCCTCAGCACTCGACGTGACCAACGGAATACGAGGAGGCCGATCGCCACGGCCAAACCGACGACGTTTTCGCGCGCGTACACGCGTTCGCTTGACTCGGTGCTCTTCTTCTCTCGACCGGTTTTACGACCGAATAATGAACGGTCGTACTTCTCGCGAGTTTACGCCGACAAACTGGAACGCTGGTGATCGGGGGTGGAGAGATCATGGTGGTTGGAAGAACCATCGACCGTGTATCCGCTAGCCAATAGAGACGTAACCTCGTCCGTAAAAATTCTGGGAGGAGTTTCGAAGGAGAACTGGTTTCACGCATGCACCCTGTTAGCGATGCGCGTCGACTCGACACCGCGATGGCGCCTACGAACGCTCTATCCCTTTTACGCGGGACTAACGATCGGTGCGAAACGAATCGTTCGAACGATCTACATCGACCAATTTCGTTCGTTCCGATAGTTTGGCGATTTTAAAATTATACCACGAGTTTGGGGTCATCCCAGATTTCGTTGTTTCGGACGTTTCAATCTCCTGGTACGCCTCCCAACGCGAAACGAAGGATCTCTCCTAGCCTAGTACTATATAAACGAACAAAATTTATTGTAAAATTATGTGAGGAGCGTTAAGTGTATAGAAATAAAATATGAATACGTGAATAGTACGCCTCGATCAGTTATTTCCTTCTCTCGATCGCGCGAAGTAGGTATATCTAGTTAATATATTTATGAAACATATAAAAATGAAAGAAAATATTGCCCTTTAAGATCGCACCATAGATTACTATTAATTACGGAAAGCGTAGTATCGAACGAAGTAGCATGCGCAGAAAGAATAAAGTGGCATCAAACAAAAGAACATATTCCATATTAATTTCCTAAATGCCGAAAATATTGTATTTGACAGCTGGTAATTTCTTAAACTACTTTTAAAGTAATTTGAAAATCTTATTTTTACATGGTTTTTTAAAATACACGCATATTTACGCGCTTTTGCAGAAAACAGTACCGGTGGCGCCATCTAGCGGTGAATCTCGAAACTATCGAAAAAGAAAATTTCGTTTTTCTCGAAAACTAGGCACTTTTTCGAAGTTCTAACAAGTACAAAATGCTTCTAAATCCTCAAGGAACATATATAAATTGATATTAGGTCGCTGGGAGCGTTAATAAAGAAAATAAAAAAAATAGCATTTTATGGACCTCAAAAATGGTAGCCACCTAGCGGTGAAAGTTGGAACTAACGAAATATAAAATTGCGTTTTTCTCGAAAACTAGGCACTTTTTCGAAATTCTGACAAGTACAAAATGCTTCTAAATCCTCAAGGAATATATATGAGTCGAATGTAGGTCGCTGTAGGCGTTAATAAAGAAAATGAAAAAAATAGCATTTTATGGACCTAAAAAACCTCAGCCATCTAGCGGTGAAAAGTGGAACTAATGGAACTAAATATCGTGTATAATTTTCGAAAAAAAAAGTCATTTTCTCGCCCTTAATAACGCGTGCAGATCATTTTGAAGACGTTCTAAAAGTGTATTTTAGTCGTATAATGTCTATTTAGTAGAAAAATTCCATGTTTTTTGAAGGTATCCTTTTTCAAATTTTGTTCTATTAATTCCACTTTTCACCGCTAGATGGCTGAGGTTGTTTAGGTCCATAAAATGCTAATTTTTTCATTTTCTTTATTAACACCTCCAGCGATCTAAAATCGACTTATATGTGTTCCTTCAGGGTTTAGAAGCATTTTGTACTTCTCAGAATTTTGAAAAAGTGCCTAGTTTTCGAGAAAAACGAAATTTTATATTTCGTTAGTTCCAACTTTCACCGCTAGGTGGCTACCATTTTTGAGGTCCATAAAATGCTATTTTTTTTATTTTCTTTATTAACGCTCCCAGCGCCTTAATTTCACTTTATAACTGTTCTTTGAGGATTAAGAAGCATTTTGTACTTGTCAGAATTTCGAAAAAGTGCCCAGTTTTCGAGAAAAACGCAATTTTATATTTCGTTAGTTCCAACTTTCACCGCTAGGTGGCTACCATTTTTGAGGTCCATAAAATGCTATTTTTTTTATTTTCTTTATTAACGCTCCCAGCGCCTTAATTTCACTTTATAACTGTTCTTTGAGGATTAAGAAGCATTTTGTACTTGTCAGAATTTCGAAAAAGTGCCCAGTTTTCGAGAAAAACGCAATTTTATATTTCGTTAGTTCCAACTTTCACCGCTAGGTGGCTACGATTTTTTAGGTCCATAAAACGCTATTATTTTTTTTTTCTTTATTAACGCTCCCAGCAACTAAAAATCGACTTATATGTGTTCCACAAGGATTAACAAGCATTTTGTACTTGTTGGAATTTCGGAAAAGTGCCTAGTTTTCGAGAAAAACGCAATTTTCTATTTCGTTAGTTCCTCCGTTCGCCGCTAGATGGCGCTAGTAGTACCGTTTTTAAATGATTCAATTAATATTGATTTTTTTCTATTTAATAAACGATAATATGTTTCAAAGAGCAGTAATGTATGCCACTAGCACACTTTGCGAGTTCCAATAATTCGTGAAAGTCAACAAATATAAATATTTTATTAACAATTTAATTCCATTAGCTCTCGTTCTGTACCACGAGATGGCTACAGCATTTCTCTGTCCCGATCGACAAATTTAATAACTTGTTACATAATTAATAAGCTGCCGCATGAATTTATATAAAAATTTATGCGAAGGATATCCATATGTTGACGAGATATTTTCTTCTCGATCCGACCTCTGCAGCGATTCGAATTTAACTCTTTAATTGTCATCCGATCGTCGATCGATATATCTAAACCGAAATAAGCGTAAAGATTTCAGAGTGTTGGACGGACTTTAAAAACGTAAAAACTTTGAGTCAAGGAAAATGTCCGTTTCCCTTTGTTTTCTAACGTTTCTTTATTCAAAGGAGAGAAAGCAACGTTCTAAGACTGCGAGAAACTATATTAAATCCTGTGTAAACGAAGGTTCTTCATAAAAGTTGTACGGGACTCGTTGAAAAGGTTGCTGTTGCTAATTATCCGCGAATAAACTGGTTTACCGGAGAAGATAGACTCGCGGAAGACGAGCTCGCGACTTTTCACGCGAACGGTTCGGCGTGATTAGGTTCGAACGTGTAGGGAATGAATAAATTGTTCGCCAGTCAGCGTGTACCTCTTCTGTACAATATATCACATATCAACAATTTTATTTAGTCTCGTGTTTTATTTAACATACAAGAGCTATCTTTAAACATGACGCACGATTTTAATACGCATACGAGCTCGCACATATTAAATAAGTTTAGGTTACACTGATATGATACTTCGTTAAGGTATTACTGTACACGGCAAGGTGCTTTCTTAGAGGCAACCAGGCGAGAGATCGTTTCATCGTTTCTCGAATCTCTGGCTCGTTCGCTTCGCAATCTCGTTTGTCCTGTTTCGAACGTCCTACGGGATCGATCGTTCCTTTTATTTTAGCCTCCACGTTCTCTTTCGGAAGGAGGACACGCGACGCGATTTCATAGGAATCCGTGGTTCGCGGGGCTCGAGATAGCGGAAAATCCTGTCCGGCTGTTTGTCCGCTACTCTACGATTCCCTTTATCGGGGTCCCGACGGCCCCGATCGCACGATTTGCGCGTCGGAGGGCGCGTTACAACGTACTTTTACTTCTTCGTGGTTCGATGACTGGAAGAATAGACGCGCGGAGGAGACGTCGAATTGCCCTCTTTTCCCGCGGAAGGGTATGGTCAAAATATCGTTCGCCGGCTGTTCGCTACGTCTTATCGCTATCGCTGGAATAAGTTGCACACGGTAAACAACAAGAAACGGTCGAGGCCATGACGCATCGATATTGTCTTCGAGGTAACACCGATCGATATAATTCCTTCGGACACATATTCGTACAGTCGTATAAATGTCTGAAAAATGACGTACACCGTAAAACTCGCCGTTCCTCGTCCGTCCTGATTATTCCTCGAACGAACGAGAGTTAATCTGGCCGCTCGAAAGGTCGATCTCCGATCGTTTATATCTCGACAATAAAATCTGAAATTGTAAAACGATCGTGGACTTTACGATCCTTTGTCTCGCGACGGACGAGAATTCGTGTTCTTTACGGTGGACATCTTTTCCTAAACGATTCTCATAATACATACAACGGATCCGTTCATACGCGACAAGAAAAGAAACGACTTTACCCGCGTGAGGAGGAATTATCGTAAACGCAACGTGGTCCGAACGGACAACGCAAATCAACCTGTACACGCACGAAATACAGCTCGCGATCTATCGACGCTGATTGAACGATATTGTTGCGACGCCGCGAAAAATTACCCTTAGAATTTTAACGAAGTTCAGCCGAGCGCTTCGGGTCGTTCGCGCGATATCTTTGGTGTCCTTCGCTAAAATAGTGTCTCGCGCAGGCACGTCGCGTCGCAGCAATACGCGCGGTGGCTAAGTAACAACGGCTACGCGGCCAAACACACTTTCTTATCTTTTAGTATTACTAGACGATAAACGGTCAGAGAAGATGTACAGAGTAAGACGAGAGTGTCGCATTGGAAAAATATACGTATGTACGCGTTCATTTGGACGAGGAGGAATGATAAGACGCGAGTGTCAGGTGCGTGCAGCGCCTGTCGAAGCACACGGATATGTCTCTGGTTCGCGCGACCAATTAACGTTGGCTTCGCGTTACAACGCGATCGCGGTTAAAACGATACGACTCTCGAGTACGAGGAAAGCTTCGTCCTCTTCGTTGGCCCAACGCGGATCAACGATCTAGCCTCTGCGCGGCTAGACGCGTTCGGTAGCGTCGGTATCGCTTAACCTTTCGCACACGTTCACGGGCCACGCATTCCTTCTTTCTCCCTCGCTTTCTATCTCTCCTTCGTTCGCGAACGATCTACCAGACTACGCGTCCAATTCGGAGAGAAGATCGATATCGCGACCCGATGCTTTACGAGGCTCGAGTTTCTCTACTTTTTAGAATAACCTTTTCGGCCGTGTTTTTCACGACCACGCTCGGAAACGTTGGACAGCTCTATTCCTCTATAACTCACTAACGATAAATTAAAAGGCTAAAAAAGATCGGTTCGTATCGATTTTTGAACCGTCGGTGATGCGACCGATAGCGACGGCGTTCGAAAATCTATCGACGAGCTTATAATCGAGTCGGTGAAAGCGATATTAGGGAATTTTCGTACGTCGAACTTCGAAGCGATTTCATTAGCTGGAATCGAACGCGCGCGAAAGTTGGCGCGCCGAAACGGAGGGGTTAATACTCGGATAATTTGGTCGTTGGAGTAGCAGAGGGTCGCGCGTCGAGTCACGAACGAATACGTAGGAAGTAAATCCGGATCAGGCGCGAACACTCGAGGCTCCGACTCGTTTTTTCACGCGAGTCCAAACAATAAATTATTGATAAACTCTGGAACGTTGTTTCTCGCAAACGAATACCGTACAAAAACCGTATAAAAATCTAGCGTGAAATTTGCGCCGAGGTAAAGAAGGCGGCACGCTCGAAATCGATAAGAAAGTCTGGCAACTACGCTCGGCTTTCGCCGATGGAATACGAACAATTGCAACTGTAAAAGAAAAGAGAAACGGAACATAGGAACAATCTAGCGGCACGGTGATCGAAGGTTAGCCTACGCGGTTAGATCTAACGCGATCGTCGTTTTAACGAGCGGAATATAAGCGGAGAAGCTTGTCCGCGTCGTTGGTCCTCGACGACGAAACGAACGTTGATCCGAAAGAGCTGCCGACGAAACAACGCGACGTTGCAAAGAAAGGAATCGTTTTCGAAGAAAATTCAACGATTCGCGGTAGAAATTATCGGCAACGGAGTTCGGTCGTCGTAACGCGGATCGCAACGATGGTCCAGAGATCGCGGGAGCTAAATACTACGGGACTAATAAATCGCCCGATATTCTCTTTATCGCTCGCTCGCTTTTTCTGTTTCTCTCTTTCGTTTCGCTACGACGATTCGCGATCGAAATAGGAGCTCTACCGAGTTCGCTGATATCGATACATGTACTCTTACCTCTCCAGGTTAATTACGCTATGTTTTATGTTATAATTTACGAGTTGGAACGCGATACTCGCATCGATTCAGGGGAATCAAGAGGGTTTCGACGGCCGCGTTACGAGCATCTCTATCCTCTATCGTTTTCTCTTCTTCTCTTTTGTCCACAATACCGTTTGTCGTTTCCAAACGATAATAATACTGAGAATTCTACGTATGGTATTTTCGGCCGATGGAAACTCGTCGAGTCGGAACTGGCCTCGGCGAAGAGGCCGTTTCGTCCCTGTTCCTGCTCTCGAGCTCCGATCCGTCAGGCCGTTTTCGTAGCAGCGACACCGCGATACCGGCTCCTTTACAGGGGTACTATCTTCTCGTTTCGATGCATCGGCGTGTCGTAAGCCGGCACGCACTTGTAGTACTGCGGAGGGTAGGAGGAATAAGAGGCGTCCGAGGGCGAGAGTCGGCCACGGAATCGCGCGCGGATCACGTGGACGATCAGCAGCAAGCAGAGGACGCCCAGTATGACGATCAGGGTGATCGGCACGGTGCCCCAGCTCTTGGCTCCTTGGTGATGACCGTGCGTCCCGTTGTCCTTCAGGGGCTGCGAACAAAGCTCGAACTCTAGTCGTTCCTCCGGGCATTCCGCTTAGAGTAAACTTACCGTAATCGGACAGGTGGAACAACAGGTTCCCGGCTCCGGAGGCAACGGGTCGTTGCAGGCCACGGAGCAGACGATCTCTTTGCAGACGAGCCTTCCACCGGACTCGCAGGTACAGGTGGTGCACGAATTCGGATGCCAGCTGGATCCTTCCGGATGCGTGCTGTTCCGATGGTCCGTGCAGTAAGCTCGACAGCGGCATATCTGCGAAGAGGATGAACACGAGCGAATGAAGCGAATATCGTCCGAGGACGCGTTACCGAACACTTACGGGACAGCCGCGTTTGTTGGTCTTGTAACCCAAGGCGCAGCGTTTCCTGCAGCCGATCAGAGACGGACAGCTCGATTCCGGCGCTCGACATTTACAAAACGTGCAGTCGTTCTCGTCCATGACCAGTCCTCGTTCGCAGTGGAGGTCGCACTTTAGTTCCGGACAGATTTTCTTGTCCGCCTCGTCGATCGCCGCGCTGTCGTTCGTAGGCTGGTCGAAAATTTGCGGATTCTCGCAGGCGCACACCGAGCAACCTGTTTCGTCTTTGACGAGGTCGCAGTTGAAGCCGCACTGAGGCGGTTCGGGACAATTCTTGTCGTCGTCGATGTCGGCTATTGGACGATCGGTCGACGAGTCGTCGATGTCCTGAAAAATACCGATTAGTCTCTCGCGAACGGTTCGATCAGCGACGACGACGATCGCGATACCCTACCTTCGACTCGATGCAACTGCAGATGGGGCATTCGTTTTCGTCGCTCGCGTATCCGTGCTCGCAAGTTAACGGGCATCCTTGCAAGGACGCCGAGCAAGAGTCGGCGAGAGTCCCGTTCGTCGGCGGGGGACAATGAGGGCAACACTCGCCGGGATGCGGTGGGATGGCGTTCTCGCAGGATTTGCACATCGGTTGATGACAGGATACTCCATCGTCTCGGCAAACGCAGCTCTCGCAGTCCGACTGTTGCCACCGTTCGCCCACCTTCCTCGCCTTGCCCTCGTAAATGCAGTATTTCGATTTCTGCGGTTCCTCGGTCGTCGCCTCCACCCACGACACCGATTCTGCAATTCAAAACGTGCCCCGTGTTCTCAACCGTGTACGCTCCGACGGTTGTTCGATCGCGTCTCGTTCTTCCTCTCGCAGGCGCGACGCGACGCCACGTTCGATCGAGTGGCCTCCGAAGGATTTCTCTCTCGTTCGTCGGGTACCGTTATCCGACAGCGAACCTTTCGATTCGAAGCTTCCGTATCCCGCGCGCGAGACGAACCGTTACCGAGTTTCGCGG